GGCGCAGCCTGCGCGGGGCGCCGCGGCCGCGAGCGGCGCGGGGAGCGTGAACATGGTGGGGTGCGGCTCAAGGGAGGACGAGGAGGAGGTGTCTGCCGCCCAGGGCATCGGGTTGCTGCCGCCGCTGGCGCCCTTGCAGCTCGAGCCGCCTTGCGGGCAGGCGGGGGAGGCGACCCAGGCGGCGTCCGCGTCGGGGCCGCCGCCTGTGTGGGCGCGGCACGCGCTCGGCGGCGGGGGCGAGGGCGGGGACGGCGGCGCGGTGCTGGGGATGCCACCCCTTATGCCGCCGCCCGCGCCGATGCAGCAGCAGCAGCAGGAGCAGCAAGCCTCTCGAGGGCGCCCGCCGTCCCCGCCAGGCGGCGGCGGAAACTCGCACCCCGCGGCGGCGCCGCCGCAGCCCTGGTTTGCGGCGTTTGGCAGCGCATGCTATGGCGGCGCGGCCGCGTTTGGGGGCGCGGGGTCGGACCTGGACTCATTCGTCCTGCAGCAGATTGCGGCGACGCACCCTGGCGCGGCGGCGATGCACGGTGCGCACCTTCCAGTCTCATGCGCGCATGCGTGCGTGCAAACACGCACACCCACTCTCATGGAGTCGCAGGCTCTTGCAGAGTTCGCCATGCGCTGGCCCCTGCTCGCACCTCTTGCTCGCATGACTCGGCGAGTCCCTGCCTTTGCTCCCAGTTGTGCGGGCCAAGCAGACGCGCGAGCGCTGCCTGTCACATCGTACCCTCCCAGGTGGCGCCGGCGGTGGCTCGACCGCAGAGTGCTACGCCAGCTGGCCGGGCCCCAGCCACCCCCCTTCCTCGGACGCCGCCACGGCCGGCCCCCACCAGCCCCAGCGGCAGCAGCCCGCCTCCCAGCCGCCGCCAGGCTCGCCGCAGCCGGCGCGGCGGGTGCCCCAGCGGGCGCAGCAGCAGCAGCAGCAGCAGCAGCAGCCGCGCGGCGCCCTGCCCATGTCGTGCGGCGACATCCTGCGCGACTTCAGCTTCGGGCGACTCGGCCCCGGCGACGACCGGCCAGGCTCACCCCTCCTGAACGTCCTGCCGGGCTCTGTCATCGGCCTGGCCGCCCTTGCAAGCTCCGGGGCCGGCCGGGGTGGTGGTGGTGGTGGTGGCGGCAGCAGCGGCGGGGATGGCGGTGGGGGTGGGGACGAGCTGGAGTTGGAAGACCCGGACTCGCCGCCCGCGGCGCGACGGCCGGCCGCCGAACCCAGGGTGCGCGCGGCGCAGGGGCTGCTTACGGCGGCTGGCCGGCGGGGTTGTGGCCGCGCTGGGCGGTGCACGGGGGCCGTGCGGCTGATACCTCGGACACCTGACCTTGCAGCTGTGATCGTGCAGCCTAGACTTTTGGCGCTGCCCATATGGCTCGGAGAACACTCTCCCTCCCGTGACCAAACACCTCCCTCGTCACGCACTGCTTGCAGGCTGCCAAGCGGTTGCGCACCAACGCCGGTCCCGGCGCGGCCGGCGCTATGCAGCCGGCGGCAGCAAACGGCTCGGTCGGTCTCGGCAAGGGCGCCCCCTGGGCGCAGCAGCGGGCGGGCCCGCCCCCCGCCCCGCCGTACGGCGACCCCGCCCCCGCGCCCGCACAGCCGCAGCCGGCTCCCGGCGTGGGCCACGCAGCGGCCGCGGCGGCGGCGGGCGCGAACGAGGTCGTCGTCGGCGGCGGCGGCGGCGGCGGCGGCGGAGGCTTGGGGAGCCTTCCGGGGTCGTTCCTGCTTGGGAGCCTGGCCGGGTCCCTGGGGAACCTGCTGGGAAGCTTCCCCGGCTCCGCGCTCTCCCTGGGGGAGCTGATCGGCAGGCACGACTCATTTGAGGCGGCGGTGGCCAGAGGGGCCGCCGCCGCCGGCGGCGGCAGCGGCGGCGGCGGTGCAGCAGCGGCAGGCAGCGGCGCGGGTGTGTAAGTGCGGGCCGCCGCAGTGCCGCAGTGGGGGCGCAAGTCAACCTTGAGGGGTTCGTTCTGCGGGCTGCCTCCTGATGTGACTCGGCAATCGCCCCAGATTATCGCGGGTGCTGAGGAGGCACTTGCCGGCGCCAGCTTCCGTCCAGAAAGGAACGCCTCTGCTGCGCTCGCTACCGCACCATGGCAGCCTTCACACGAGCGTCTCGCCGCAAGCGTGGCCACGCGCGCCCCCGCCAGCTGCTGGTCTCGCCTCCCCTGCCGCCTTGATCCTCGTTTGACGGCGCAGCAGCTTTGCAACCCCCCTCAATCACACACATCGAGCGAGACCCCGGCCGCAGTGCCATGTTGTCGCCGCACCGCCGGCAGCCGGGCCGCACGTCAATACGGCGCACGATGCGCCAGTGTGCATCAATTGTTGCGCCGAGCGGCCGCCCGGGTCGCCCGGTTTTTCACACAAGATGGCGGGATTGCTTGCGCAATCAGTGTACTGGAATTCGGCCTGCCGCGGCCTTGACACACACACGCAATGTTGGAACCCACGCCTGTAGCGCGCCCGGCAACCGCCTGTCGGCGCACTCCTCACACGGCTGCGACCAACCAAAGGCGTCCAGGTTAGCGCGCCGCCCCTGGCGGGCCGCTTCGCACCACCTCCCAGCGCGAACCACGGCAGCAGCGCCCGAGCGGCCTCGCAACAGCAGGCTCGGTGTGCGGCACGTCCCCGCAGCTTTCGTTTGACTTGTGACATTGTTTGACGTAGATTTTTGGAGCGCACAAGCAAATCATCGAGTTTGCTTCCGCTGTGTGTGATACACACATATATAGCTGGCGCAAAGCAGGGCCCTGACTTTGTTGTCGCCGCCGTGCGCACTTTGACAGCTGCACTTCCCAGGCCGCCATTTTCCGACCGCGCGTTCGCCACTCATTGGCAGGCTTTGCTTTCTTCGTTGGATTGCGAGCGACCAGCCCCCCCCCC